TCTCCTATTTGCTATTCTATCATCTAGTTAAAGCTGAACTTTTTCTTCTTTCTTTACTTTTGATGAATTTATCTCTATTATTTCTTTAAAGATTTTTTCCTCCCCCTTTTTATTCTCCAAGATTTCTATTATATGGATTTCAGTCCTTTTATTCTCAACTTCACATATCTTTTATTTCATATTTTCAATTTACCTTCTTCTGTTTCCTTTTGTAAAAAGTTCCATAATCTGACCTAGTTTTTAATTCATTCTTCAGCAGCATCCATTTCACTATTTATCCTATATAATCACATTCTGTATTTCAACTATTAGACCTAAATGGTTCTACTTGGTTCTGTTTTATCATTTCATATTCTTGTGTAAATGATTAACATCTTCCCTTGTCTCTTTTAGTATGCTCACTTTGTTGACTTAAAAATTTTTGGACTGCCTATTCTGAACTCTCCTTGAAGTGTCTGAAACTTGGGGATCCCCCAGGGAATACTGGCTCCTCAGGAGGACGGGGCTTGGTTCTGAGGGTAGATACAGGCCCTCAGCCCCAGGAACTCAAGGAAGAGTGCGGAGAAGATCTCTGGGCACCAAAAACCTGCCTCCACCAAGCAAATCCTCATTCAGGGTTTTATCCTTACCAACCTTCTCCTCCAAGGAGAAACACCCTTAGGAGAAGACACTCCTTAAAAGTGTAGCCCATCAGTCCCAGGACTTGGAAGCCAACAGGTAAGAAGTCAATGTCTAAAACCAGTCACTTCCCACCAATTTTTCTTAGCTTCCAACTCAAACCAGGCTTCAGTGTTGCTCTGATTTTGTTACTTCAGACCCCTTTGAGGGTACAGGCACTAATGTCCCAAGGCAAAGGAAGAGAAGCGTAAGAGGAACTTGAGGTGTTTTGTGTCTTCCTCTTTCAACTTCCTGCCCTGGCTGCAGCCTCATCCACCATACAAACCAGTTCAAAATATCCTTTTATCTGCCCAGGGGTTTCTCACACTATTCTCTGAATCCTGGTATCATGAGATTTCTCTCTGAAGTTATTTCAGGTTTAATTTTCAGAGAAGATGCAGTTATCTGTCCTAATTCAGTATTTTGGCAGGGGCCAGACCCTCCTCCAGCTGGCCTCCTACTAGGTGTTTTCTGACATGTAACGCAAGCAGATTTAAAGAACTGAATGACACTGCTATGTCAAAACTCCTTCAATTCCTATTTACTTAGTTACATAGGGTTCTCAGTGCCTATAGTTATAAAAATTAAAAACAACAGTACAATTGATTCTGAACACTCTCTTTCTGAAAATATGTCATATTCAGTCATAGATGAACTATTGGGAGGAAATGCAGCCCTATCCATCCACTAGAGAAATGCATTTCCAATATAATTTTACTTATGCTTAATAATTATAAAAAATTAGAATTATGTATTGTTGATCAATTATGTACTAATTACCATGGCAAGTCTTCCTCGAATAATTTTTAAACATTTAGAGTGTATAGTTATTCAACAAATATTTATTGAATTAAGTATATACCAATCATTGGCTACTGAATAAATCCCCAAGGTTTCTGGTTCATGAGCTGCTTCATAACATAATTTTAACAAAAACCTTCGTTAAACAGGGCTTCAACAACATATTCACATGCATAAGATAATTCACAATTTAAAAAAATAACTAAATACAGTAAAATAAAACTAAGTGTCTTAACTTATTTAGGATGAAAGTATACAATAGGAAAAAAAATACCCAACAATTAGGCATCAGAAAGTTTTCATTCTCTAAGGGCTTGTTCACGTTAGCAAAGATAGTTCTGAAATTAGACCCTACACCTTGATTACAAGTGCCTTTCTAAAGTGTGACTATTGCACTGTAATTTGTGGTATACTTGAGGGGAGAGACTGTGTTTTATTCATCTTTGTACCCCCATAGTGCCTGATGGATTAAAATCAAAAGATACTTGTTTAAATCAATATAGACATTTAAATACTGTCCCATTTGAAAAAAGCAACCTTCCAAGATTGCTGCACTATAACAATAATTTCCTTCATTTCAAAGAGCATGTATTTGTTCTCCATCACTGATGACAAGAAGTTAAAACTCTTTAGCCTGGGATTAAGTCCCCTCATAATTTTCTTTCATTTTCTAAAAGTGCATTTCCCATTTCCTTCCTTCAAACATCTTATCTGCCAGTCAAACTGAACTTCCTGATTTCACACTTGCTGACCTCTGTACCTCTGGTCATTTGGCAATTTCTTGTGTCATTTATCATTTTCTTTCTTCCATTGTATCTTTTACATAGCTTGTCTCTGTTACTAGATTGCAAGTTCTTATGTCACAGACATGTCCCATGTCTTTAACTATATTTATCACCTAGCACAGGGCCTGCGTGGCACATGGCAGGCACCAAAAAGAAAATCTGTTGAAAAGATATTACTGAATGTATGAATAATACAAATAATTATCAAATCTGGAAACTACTTTTAGAATGAAGAAAAATATTTCCTTAATTTATAGCAGGGTTCTTAAATATAAGTAGGCATTAGAAATACCTGGGAAACTTGTTAAAAATTAAAGAATTCCAATTCTTGGTATTAGTTCTCACAGGGGGTCTTGAAGGAATACCCAGAGGCAACTGCAATTATCTAATAAGAAGGAATAAACTCCTGAACCACTGTTGAGAGTAAAGAGCACAAAAAGGAAGAAATGGATACAAGAGGATAACAGATACACACACTCCTGGCAATGAAATCATCATCGACCTCTCCTCTTCCTTTGTAGGAAAGTCATTTTTTAGCTGTTTTTCCTTACATCTAATCTTTGACTTTTGAAATCAGGATAACATTATATGTTTCTTTTAAGTTACAGTCACTTAAATGTACATAGAGAATGATTATTTTTTCTCTGAATATTTTTCAGATACGTAATTTCAAAATGTATAATACATTGGTTAAACCACAGAAACTTTTTATCTAATAAAGCTCTTTGAAAAAAATGTTACTGTGTGTTAAATTATTGCAAAAGATAAGCTCTGGTTATAAAGCAGCCAGGCACCGAAAGAACTAACATGTTCTCTTTAGATTATTTCAAACAGAGGATATGAATTACAGGAAGTAAGACTTCAAGTGGTTCAGAAGAAAAGACTTTGCCTTTCAGAAGTTCATAAAATGCCAGCATTCTAAACTTCATACACTGAAGTCCTTAAGATAGTCTGATATAGTACACATTGTCACTTCTCTCTTCACTTGGCAAAGCCTACATAGAGACAAATGTTACAGAGGCTCAAAAATGAAGACTTCTGGAAAAATGACCAAAGCCAGAAATAAAATTATACTAATTAGAAAACAAACAATTAAATGGCCTAACCCGAATGTTGTGTGATGCTGAAAAGAGAGATTTCTAAAGCGCACCATCTGTTTTAGTTTTTGATTTCGTGGTACTACAAATCTACTCAGAATGGTTTTGCAATGATCTAGCTGCTAGCTCATTTGCACAATTACTTTAGGTCAGAAATGCTTATTGCACAGAATGATTTGAGAGATCAACCCATTCATAGAAGAGGGCAAATATAGCCCATTTTTGAATGAAGACTTTTCTTAGCCCTTGAGGAAAAAAAATATTATTCAAAGAAATGATTAGAATTATCCAAAGGAAAATTAGAGATATAAAAGAGTAGTATCACTATAAATTTATGGTATAAATTTATCTGGGCCTTCAGGGTTACCATCAACCTCTCTGTTGGCCAGTCTAATGGAAACTTCTCATTATCATCTTGACCCCTCAGCAGCATATACCTGGGAGTTGACTGCTCTTGTTTTCTCAAACATTTCTTGCACTTAACTTCCCTGGCACAACTCTCTGGTTCTCCTCCTTCCTAATCAGCTATTCCTTCTCAGACTCCATTGCTAGCTTCTCCTCTCTCAATGCTGTAGTGTCTAAGGGCAGGATGCTGTGGGCTCTTCTCCTTTCTGTCTGTATTCTCTTCCTAATTTATCTCTTCAGCCTAATGGTTTTTCATGCACTCCTGATCCCCAAAGTTTTTTTCCTGCTTATATAAGTTTGGAGATAGGAAGTCAAGGTGTGGCATGGCAGCTCTGTGAGCTAGAAGCACTGGTTCCTTGCATCTTGCTCTGCAATCCTCAGTTTATAGATACCATTTTATTCTAACATGGCTACTCAAACTCCACCCATCACATAAGCATTCCAGTCATCAGGAAAGAAGATGGGCATGAGGAAGGCCATACCCCCGCCATTTAAGGACACTTCCCATTGCTCCTACTTTCACTGAGAGCTCACCGGGCTCTGTGATCACTAGCAAAGAACAAAGCACACTAGAGAGCATGGTTTCCAGCTAAAAGTCAGGATCCTCACTACCATAGAACAAAAAGAGAGCAAATATTGAGAGGTAAGCAGCAGCCTTTTCCAAGGCGCCTACTGTGCCCAGGTAATGTTCTAGGTACAGGGTTACAAAGATCAGTAAGACAAAGAAAAGATTCTTTTTAATGCAATTGTAAATAGGATTGTTTGAGGCATTTAGTCTAATGGAGGAAAACAATAGGTAAATGAATATACTCAAGATTTCAAGCCAGGTAGTAGCCATTGTTAGGAAACCTTGGCTTTTCTGAGTCCCCAAAGGTTCCTTGCATCCAAAGAGATGAAAGAAAAGTTCCATTGCTTTATATCACTAAATTATACAGACTGTTTCAATATTCTACAGCTTTACTAATGGACATTTCTCAGTCCTATCCTACTAGGCTTGATACCTTCATGACATGGAGCAAACCAAGTTCATTTAAACTTCTATAAACATACATAAACAACTGTGGTGATAGTTTTAACATTTGAAAATACCCATCTCAGAAATGTGTCAAGACTCAGTGATTTTTTTTAACTTGTCATAAGATGAAACAAATGGACTGTTTTAAGAAGACTATATATAAACTACAAGGCCAAATGAAATGAAATAAGTATTGGCAGCATATCAAACAGGAAAAAAAAAAGTAATACTGTAACTTACTGTTAACCATTGGTTATCCAGAAGTTCCTTAGCTGTGATTCTGTGAGCAGGATCTACTTTCAAAAGTTGTTTCAGAACACTTTTAGCTGCAAATAAGAGAAAATCTTAAAAGTCTTATTTATCTTAACTACAATTAATACCACACATTTTCCAATTTATTTAGGATTAGGTCTGTATGACATGAAAGAAAGATGCTAATTATAAAATAAATGCCATCAATATAAATGGCTAATAAGTAAAGTTTAAGGCCTATAGTGAAGTTTATTACCTGGATTACCTGGTTTATGGTCTGTAGTAAAATACCTGGCTTATGGTAAATAGTAAAACTTAGCTAGATATCAGCAAATTTCCTCTTTAATCTTTATTTTGCATATTCTCTTATTGTGTATTTTCTGTTTTTCTTGGAAGTTTTGACTGTAACAATCACAGTGAAGATATCACTATTTCAACAAGTAAGTTGTATTTTGTGTGTGTGTGTGTGTGTGTGTGTGTGTACTAGAAAATAGAAGGAATAATTCCAAAATCATTATGTGAGGTTATCATTACTCTAATACCAAGCCAGACAAAGACACTACAAAAAAATTAAATTACAGACTGATATCCCTCATGAACATAGATGCAAAAATCCTCAACAAAATATCAGCGAATGAAATTCAAAAATACATCAAAAAGATCATTCATCATGATCAAGTGGGATTTATTCAAGGGATGCAAAGATGGTTCAATATTTACAAATCAATCAGTGTGATACACCACATTAACAAAAGAAAGGATAAAAACCATATGATTATCTCAATAGATAATGAAAAGATTTTTGACAAAATTCACCATTCATGATAAAAACTCTCAACAAAGTGGGTATAGAGAGAACATATCTCATTATAATAAAGCTCATCTGTTACAAACCCACAGCCAACATCATACTTAATGGTAAAAAGCTGAAAGCTTTTCCTCTAAGATCAGCAACAGGATAAGGATGCCCACTCTTACCACTTCTATTCAACATAGTAGTAAAAGTCCTCGCTACAGCAATCAGACAAGAAAAAGAGATAAAAGTTACCCAAATCAGTGAGGAAGTAAAACTGTCACTATTTGCAGATAACATACTATATATAGAAAACCCTAAAGACTGTACCCAAAAACTATTAGAATAAATGAATTGTTAAAGTTTCAGTAAAAATGAACAGACAGAAATATGTTGCATTTCTATCTACTAATAACAAACTAATGGAAAGAGAAATCAAGAAAACAATCCCATTTACAATTGCATTAAAAAGAATAAAACACCTAGGAGCAAATCTAACCCAAGAGGTAAAAGACCTGTATTCTGTAAGACATTGATGAAAGAAATTGAAGAAGATACAAATAAATGGAAAGATATTCCATACATATGGATAGGAATAATTAATATTGTCATGATGGCCATCCTGCCCAAAGCAATTTACAGATTCAATGCAACCCT